AGACGCTTTGTTTACCTTCCGTCTCAGACTCCCGGATTCTGGCCAAGACAACATGCTTTCTCCACCGTCTTCGCCGTCGCTACCGAACCGGCTATCTCTAGCATCGGCTCGAAGAAGCCGGAGACAACGACGGTCCCGCTTCCCAGTAACCACTCATCTGATAAGCTGCTCAAAATTCGTCACACGGTACACTATTTTCGCTCTGTTTCTGTTCTGAGTCCGGTACGAGTGGAATTTAGGAGAATTATGTAATTTGATTCAATTTCTCAACTGTTATGCTCTTAGCCGATTTGGGTGTTGTAAAAGTCTGAATTTTGATTCAATCTCATGACAAGTGTTGAGGCTTTATGCTTAGGTGATCGATTTCCACTTGTTAAGCTGAATAGTGTAATTCATGTGAATTCAGTGTGCACATGTAATGGCCATGGCGGTTCAGAAACTCTTCCCGAATGCAAAAGTAACGATAGGGCCCTGGATAGATAACGGTTTCTACTACGACTTTGATATGGAGCCTCTAACAGATAAAGACCTCAAAAGGATCAAGAAAGAGATGGTCAGTTTCTGATTAAGGCTTTAATGTTGATTTTTTTTTTCCTGTTTGATAGTTGAGATGGAATTGTAGAATAGTATTCATTGACTCGCTTATATAAACTGTAGGATCGTATCATTAGTCGGAACTTACCGCTTCTACGAGAAGAAGTTTCTAGAGAAGAAGCGCAGAAAAGAATCATGGCGATTAACGAGCCTTATAAGATGGAGATTTTGGAAAGTATCAAGGAAGAACCCATCACCTTGTATCATATCGGTACACTGTAGCTTCTTGTTGTGCCTTTTAAGTATCTGTCTTTAATTAGTTCACTTTTAGTTTGGTAATTGCTTGTCTCCATCTTATGCCAGTTCGAATGCCCATCTAGGTAATGAATGGTGGGATCTTTGTGCGGGGCCTCATGTCGAGACCACAGGGAAGATAAACAAGAAAGCTGTTGAACTAGAATCTGTTGCCGGCGCATACTGGAGAGGAGATGAAAAGAGGCAAATGCTTCAGAGGATATACGGAACGGCTTGGGAGAGTGAAGAACAACTAAAAGCTTATCTTCATTTTAAAGAAGAAGCTAAACGCCGGGATCATAGACGCATTGGCCAGGACCTCGATCTTTTTTCTATCCAGGTATAGCGAGTCTTCAGCATTAGAGTGAATATTTCACTTTCGAGATAATGTTGCATAAGCTTTCAACTGCAGGATGAAGCTGGAGGAGGATTAGTGTTTTGGCATCCGAAAGGTGCAATTGTTAGAAACATAATTGAAGAATCCTGGAAGAGGATGCACGTCGAACATGGTTATGATTTGATCTATACCCCTCATGTCGCCAAAGCTGATCTTTGGAAGATCAGTGGTCACTTGGACTTCTACAGTGAGAATATGTATGATCAAATGGAGATCGAGGATGAGCTTTATCAACTCCGACCCATGAATTGCCCTTACCACATCTTACTCTACCAAAGAAAGCGTCAATCATATCGAGATTTGCCCATAAGAGTTGCAGAGCTCGGTACAGTTTACAGATACGAGCTGTCTGGTAGCTTACACGGCCTCTTCCGTGTCAGAGGGTTCACACAGGTTACCTCAGACGTCTATAGTCTAATAGTTAACCTCTAGTCTTATTAAGTACTAGGATTAACTTCACAAACATTTATTTTGCCAGGACGATGCACACATATTCTGTTTAGAGGATCAGATCAAAGATGAGATCAGAGGTGTCCTAAATCTCACAGAAGAGATATTGTCGAGGTTTGGGTTCGACAAGTATGAAGTTAATTTATCAACTAGACCTGAAAAATCAGTTGGAAGTGATGATATATGGGAAAAGGCGACATGTGCCCTTAGGGATGCTTTAGATGATAAGGGATGGAGCTATGAGGTTGATGAAGGAGGTGGTGCCTTTTATGGCCCAAAGATAGACCTTAAGATCGAAGATGCATTGGGAAGAAAATGGCAGTGCTCAACCATACAGGTAATTAAGCTTCCTCTACTCTAATAAATCATAGGCTACTTGTCTATTAACGGGTTCTTGTTGGTACGCAGGTCGACTTCAATCTTCCTCAGCGATTTGACATAACTTATGTCGACACAAATTCGGATAAGAAACGTCCTATAATGATCCACAGGGCAGTTTTAGGCTCATTAGAAAGATTTTTCGGGGTTCTCATAGAACACTACGCAGGGGATTTCCCGTTATGGCTCTCTCCTGTTCAAGTCCGGGTTTTGCCCGTCACAGACAATCAGGTTAACTTGTGCTGCCTTGATGCAAAACTTTTGTCTGAAATTAGGAATCTCAGTCCTGAATTAATGACGGGATTTGCAGTTGGGGTTCTGCAAGGAAGTGAGTAAGAAGCTAAGAGCCTGTGGAGTTAGGGCTGAGTTGTGCCATGGAGAGAGGTTGCCGAAGCTCATAAGGAATGCAGAGACACAGAAGGTCCCATTAATGGCGGTGGTGGGCCCTAAAGAAGTCGAGACTGGAACTGTGACCGTTAGATCAAGGTTTGGAGGCGAGCTTGGAACCATTCTTGTTGATGACTTCATCAACAAAATCAACATTGCGGTTGAAACAAGAACTGCACTGTAACTTTACTGTAAGAGTAGAAGGACCACAGAGAGAGATATATATGCTAAGACTTTTATTTATTCATCCTCGATTTCCTTAAAGATTGGAAGGGCCAAGTAAAATCTTTAATTACATTTTAGTGTCGTCGTATAAGAGATTACTTTCTTGAGGTATTAACTATTGTGATGTCAACTTTCTAGATAAAGGTTTATCGCCTAGCGGATTCATCCAGGTTTCAATCGAAATTAAACCGCCGGGATTCATTTTATCCCCAATACTTGGCCATTTTCGGATTCTCTTTTTTTTTTTTTAGGCATTTTTCTAGTTTTGAAGGAGTATGGAGGATTAATTGTACGGATGCCATTTAAAAAAAAAAAAAATTTTACAAGGTTGATGATCATCCGGTCATTACTTCCTAAATTTAAAATTTTCTTGGGGGTGAGTCTCGACACGACGACAACATACAAGACAAGTGAAATGTGGAAAAACAAAAAAAACACAAGAAAAAGTAATTTTGAGAGATGAAATGTACATGTTTTGGAAAGATACGATCGAAGATATGTTTGTGGAATG